GATTTGGAAATTCACAATTAAAGTTTATGCATTAATACGTATCTAGCATATGAATTTCGTATCAACAAGAAAAATTTTTTAAATTTAGATTTTTTTTATCATTTGATACTTTAAAATGGCGTCCAAAGCTGTCAAGTCGCATCAATATTTGCTTTATATAAAAATTTTACAGCCTGTACCTACTGATATTGCTAGACTAGAAGATTACATGAAGAAACAAAGTTGAATTCTTAGAACTAAGCTAGATACCTAATGTAATGCAAAAAAGCAATACAAAATTTTGTTCATGTGTGTACAAAAATGTATATATGAGTATATGTGTATATGAGTATATGTATGTGTGTATACATAAATGTATCTATGTATGTTAGATGTGCATATGTGTGAACGTCAAAGTTCGCTCGTCAGTCCAGAATCCCCTTAAATAAAATATTTCATCATTGACCTAGAATCAACGTATTCTATAAATGTATATTTTTTTCTAATAAATTTTGTTACTCAATCTTTCTATCTCCTCTTTAAAAATATTCTCGCTTAGTCGTTAATTTAATTTTATACTCTCAACTAATTGAAAAATGCGCGATTAACTAGCCGATTTCCTTTCTCGATTTTCTAGTTTTTCTCGTACGAAAGTACATGAGAAGAAGAAGCGAAGAATCCCATCGCGATGTCATAGGGGTCATAGTTGTTTGTAATCCGCTCGAAAACTTGAATTACTCCATCCGGGATGTTATCCCGGATGTGGAAGTCGGATCACAAGTCCGGAGATATCGCGCACGCGTACACGCGTGTGCGAGAATCCGATTTCCGTGATTTATTCGACAGATTCGTGCGACGATTTCCGTCTGCGCCGAGCGAGAAAGCGGAGACTCAATTACTACTTTCGTCATCGTTGTCGAAGACTCCGCTCGGAAAATTCCCGTGTCATTCCCGATCTTTGCTCAAGTCGGAAGGCAAGTCGCCGCAGGCGGACAATGTCGCCGCCGTCGCCGTCGTCGTCGTGGGCGACCTGGAAGTCATCCTGGAGGTCACCGGTAAGGATAATCCCGCGCTCATCGCGACATTTAGCGGTATCGTGATGAACGGCTGATTCGACTGCGACGAGTTCGCCACCGGTGCTATTGTACCTACAAGAAAATCGCAAAGGGAAATCAAAGATAAGACATACCGTCGCAATGAGAAAGAAGCGCGACGCTACGTTTCTTTTCCCAATCAATCTTTTCTTATCTCTCTTCTACTCCAGTCGCTTTTTTCACTCCGATCCATCCGCAAACGCGTTTTTGAAAAACCATAGCGTGCGCTATACTCGCGCTTTGAAATCAAAGATTAACAAGAAGGATGTATTTATACTCCGATATTTTTCTTTATATCGCACTAGTTCAATTAATACATCTCCACACGTAAAAGCAAGGAAAAATGAAAATTGAAATTTCGATGCAGCCGCAAGTGTCACACGTAGCATTTACTACTAAAAATTACAGCGTAAAGCTGAAAGAAATTAAAGATAATTATGTCGCGATAAAATTGATCCTTGGCAAATAAATTGGATCGTGTAACGGTATTCCTCGTTTCGTCATGTACCGTTTGTACCTTTACCGTGTTCTCCCCCTTCCCCCCATTATTTTTGCGTCATCTCGACATATTAACATGCGCGCGAGATATGCGTATCTTATTTTCACGCCATTGGTCGTAACGAGCAGCTTGCTCTTTTTGGTTCGCGTTATGCAAAATTGTTAGTCATAATCTCGCGTCCGATACGCAATTATTCCCCGGTACCACCGCCGGTGATTCAGACGAGGAGGAAGATGCGCGCGAGCGATTTCCGCGAATTCACGGCAGCCTCCGACGAAGAGCCGATCAAAATCCGCGTCCCGCGGAAGGGCATTTCGAAATGCGTGTCGCGCGACATTGCGTAAGCTTCGCGTTTGCGTTCCTCCGCAACGGCGGCGACGACGACGGCGACGGCGACGGCGACGGCGGCGGCGGAGAAGGAAGCCTTACCTCCGTCTTGAGACATCTCCGTCTTGAGATGCACCGGTTGCCCGTTTTGTCCTATGCCGAGCAGGACCCCCGGACTGGGCGAATAAATGACACTCTGAGGCACCTGGTACATAATCCCTGCAGAAAACGAAGGCACATTTCCTAGGAAATCAAAGAGGAATTGAGCGTGTGAGTGCCGTGATTGCAAGCCGTCGGTGATGACCGCGGCACATTTCTCGCGAGGAAGTCTCACGAAATTCGCAATTGCAAACGTATCCTCGGTACAAAAGTACACGCGTTATTTTAAATATATTTTAAATATTTTATACAAGTTCCACTATCGCACAAATTGCGAGATGACTATTTTTCTGAGCGGAGAATTGTCAGCGATATACGTGATATAAAGTGACGAATAATGTAAAATAGAAAGAGGCTCAGTGTATATTTGTACCTTATTTGTATCGAAATTGTGAAATGCATCGACGTTAAAGTTAAACTTGTTTTCTGTCCCTCGGTACAGACGTATATCGTCGAGAAAAACTTAGGAATGGCGGCCGAGCCGAAGCTTCAAACCAGACCACCCAGGTGCGAGAGAATCTGCGCTCTGATTCATCATATCTCCATGAATTATTGCATTACGCGTGCCTCTTAGCAATATAGCGATAATTTTTCAAGGATTGAATATTAAATCAGCGAAAAAAAGCAATAAAAAACAAATCTAATTTGCGCGTGAAATATGAAATCTGTTGGAAGTATCATTGGCAATCCTGGTATCGCTCAAGTTGATCTGGATATTCGATAATAATAAAATGTAAGAATTAGCGTCAGTAGCAAACCTTAGCAAAGCATTATTATATCATTTGTTAGAAATAAGTAATAAATTCTCCTAACAAATATCTCTTCCTATGATACGATCCCTTTCTTGAATTTTCTATGCATAGCCATTTGTTGATCCTTATAAAATCATGATAGAATTAGTATTCGCTATTCGCCACAAAAACTGTGCGTTAACTGTGCCGCATCCAAACACGCTCTTGAGAACAATCCTATACAGATAATACATTTACGCGGAAAAAACGTCTCGTAATGCCTCTCGCACGCGCTTTCTACGTATTCCAAACAAAACAAACGCGCCTAATTAAAGAAACAGGTAACTCGCGCGATACACCATCCATCCATCGTTCATGATGATGGAATCTCTCGCATGCGCGCGCGCGCGCGCCTTATAACGCAAGGATATATATTATGCATTCGTCGTCCTCGGACGGGGTGTGTAATAAGTTGGCGGTGATTATTATCGAATTCGCGTGAGGACGGCCGGGAGCGACGGCCGTACCGCCACGTGAGGAGGCCGCGGATTCGCGCGCGTGGAAAAAAAAGCGCGATCGCGAACGCGGCCGCGGATCGGTTAAGCAGCGCGGTAGAATGGCATCCACGCGACGCATTAGCATCGATATTTATGTGTACACCTGCATCCGCGCAAAGAGCGCGCGCGGACGAACGGAGCGGCTTTCGACCGGATCCTACTTCCCAGTTAGGCAGCACGGTTGCCGTCTAAGTTTGGTCATCGCCGTGCCGCGCGCGACTGCTTGCGTACTCCCTACACGGATAACCCCGTCATCGCTCGCACGCCTTTCGCATTTTAAACATCCTCGCTCCCTCTCTCCCTGTTCTTCTTCTCCTCCTCCTCCTCCTCCTCCTCCTCCTCCTCCTCCTCCATTCCTATCTCTTTCCACGTCCAGGTACTTCCTGCACAAGCCTGCCTCCTTCTTGTCCTCTATTCCCTGTCGCTCTTTCCCCCAATCTCCACTCCATTCCTCTCCTCTCGAGCCACCACTCGACTCCCAAATACTGCAATTTCAGCCTTGTCGCCACTACGGCACTTCAACTACGAAATGATAAATTCCTGGCCCGTCTGCCCTGCCTCTCCCGCTGTTCCTTTCCTCCGCCTCTCCGCACCGCACTGTCCTCGTTCCGCCGGCAACCAGTTCGTGTTTCCAGCGCGGTTAAGCTCGTTCGCTCAATTGACTCGATTGACTAGATTGCTGTCTTCGTAACTGCGTTTCTTCGCCTCTATTACGCCCCCGTAAAGACACTATTGTGACAGAACAATAAAATAACGTAAAACAAAGTTTTTATTATTCTCCGAAGCAACACAATGATTTGTAATTTTTACAACGAAAGATTTTCTCATATAACAAATCGCTTATTCATATCGTATCGAAATTATTAAAATTTTTCTTTATTATAAAATGAGATTTCCTACAGGAGGACTAGTAGGAATGTATCTGATAACGATGAAGCTTCTTTCACGATCGGAACTGTGCTCCTAAGTACTTCCGATAGATTCACGAATACACTTAGAGAAAGAAGAAGCCCCGCTTTAGTACGGAAGATATACGCAAACTGCCGAAACTTCACCCCTCTCCGATCGGCTTGTTCGACGAGTTTAATCGGCGGCTCTAGCCCGATATGCGAATCGAGGTTAAACGAGGCACAGTCCTCTGGACGAGTCGAACAGTCGGAACTTCCGGGAATAAACAGAGAATGGGCCGGAGGTTCCTCTCCTCCTTCACCCCCACCCCCCCATTCGAATCGATTAACGGATATAGTTATGTGTGCGCACGCGACAGGAAGATAGAGCAAGACAATCGGAAGGGCTGAGGCAAGAGGGAGGTAGAGGATAGAAAGAGACAGTGAAGGTATGGATGACGATAGAGACACGAAGCCGGAGCTCTCGCGAGAACGAAGGTATAGGAACCTGGTGAACGGTTAACTAACCGGCAGAAGCGTGGAATTCTCTAGCCGGCCGTTTT